ATGCTTTAAACCACCACGATGCTTAATGCTTTATACAATTACAATTCTAGCACTGGCAGACCCTACATATCAGATGCAAAAATCATGTTATTTTGATTAGCACCTTACTTCACACCCCCTACCTCCTCCCTTCTCATCAATTCAAATGTGATTTTTTAGCAACTAACATTGTCTGAAAAAAAAAAAATAAATAATAGAGATGTTCTGAGATGATATATAATTTGACAGCTGAGTTTCCATGCTTCCAGGTGGCTGCAAGCAACAGGTTTTGGTGGGTAACAGGTCCTAACATCACATCAACAGCAAAGAAGGGAAAAGGCACAGCTGTAAGAAGATCAACAATTCTATGCTTTGATCTGCCAGGGAAATAAAATGCTCTGACAGAAAAGGCTGCAAATAAATCTGAACTTGTACACTGTGCCAAGACCTGGTCCTGACTCAAAGATCAGGAATACAATGCCAGTGCGTGAACACACATTGTCAGGAACGAAAGACCACACAACTTAATGCCTTGTAAAAATGACATTCGTTTCCAGATCATCTTTAAGGGAAAGGAGCTGAGTCTCTACGAGGTGGGAGTGAGGTGGTATGAAGCAGAAGACAGAAAAAAAAAATGCAGCAAGAATTAAGGAGGAAGTTTCACCCCCTAAAAGCTGCCCCTCTCCCCACAAAAAATCTCAACTACTGGGAAGAGACTCTCCCGTCTTCTCCTTCGTATCCTTCTGACATACCCTGGCACAATTGCAGTGTGAGAGGAACGAGGGTCTAATGCAAATGCAAGAGACTATGAACAGTATTGCATGCAGAAAAGCAACATGTTTTCTTCAGTCTTCCAGCACGAGAAACAGGGATGGGCTACCTGTGACTTCCAAAGTCAGAAAAAGAAAGCAGTTGACATAGAGTGGGCTTTTTTTTTAAATAATATTTTTTAAAATGAGATAATAACAGAGGCAGAGGCAGCAAGCACAGGTAAAAATTCATTCCAGGAAGCTTAAAAATAAGATTACCATGGCACATGCAGGATTCGTACTTCACTTTTCTTTGTTTTAATTATCGAGAACGATACATGTTCTTAAAGCATCAAGACCCAGAGCCCTCAACGTTATCACACAATGTAATAGTGATTATTATTATTAGTTGCCGAAAAATATCTGGCCCCTCTCAACTGGCCTAGTTTCAGCACAGTATGGTTTTGCTTCAAATGCAATCAACAAATTCTACGAAGTTGATGTATTATTGCAAAATGTATGTTCTTTTACATTAAAGCATAAGAAATAAAGCATGACCATCATGTTTTGCAACTAATTTATTTTTTTCTCCTTTTTTAATCTGTCTTACAAGTTTACCATGACATTTTAGTGACAACAGCGCTAAAATAATTCAAAAAAACAAAAAGGAGACTAATTAAAAATAGGCAGACAGCAAACATTATGATACATTGGCATAAAATTATCCCTTCAGTGTCCTTTGTAAAAATACTGCTGTAAATCCAACATTTGCCATGGCAATACTGAGTCAGATTGTTTTATAAATTATATAATTATATATGCAGATCCTTCGCAGTGCAAGCATTTGGTTAGCGCATGTTACTGAAATGAGGCACTCTGTATTTAAGGGAAGAAAACATTTTCTGCTTTCTTGGAACAAAACTTGTATCACTGAACTGAGCTTCCAACCGACACAAATTACAGATCTTGAAAAACCTATTTGCCTTCCTCCCATTCCCCCACAATTTCAGCAATCTTTCAGAGAGCTGTTTCAGCATTTCTTACTCTGGAGTACATATGAAGGAGAGGGCTCCTCTCAGGCTGGACAGGACTTTTTGCTCTTATCAAGTCTTTGGCAATGATAACTAAGACATCGCACAAGCCGCTGGGTAGATTGTACACTCTGAACACAACACCACCAGTTCTAGAGTAAGTGGAAATAAGAAGTTACTTACACATGCAGAACTAGAGGACGTTTCAGAAGGAGGTTAGCAACACCTACTGGTCACAGCGCATACTGAACACTCTCTTGGTTTTTAAAATTGACAATAAAAAAAAAAAGCTTTTTCTTACTAAAGCACTGACCTAAAATTAGCTATGAAGTCAGTTTGTCACCAGAGATAGTACTTCTAAGTAGATCAACAGATAAAATTAAAAGATATTACCTCTCCCAATAAACCTTGCTCTGCTTATACCCTTACATCTACGTTATTGCTAAAATACATCAGCACCAGTGATTTCTGAATCATATCAGTAAATAAATATTCATAACATGAGCTGAGCTCTAGGCTTCAGTACGAAATGGGACATAACAAGTATTCCTGACAGTTCCTTTAAGTGACTGAAAGATAAACATTATTCATCGCAACGTGCATGAATCCCTCCTTCAATACTAATTCTCTTTATTGCCTACTCAAAGCAACTCAAATGTTATGAGCCACACAATCTCAGCAGCAGCGTGTGTTTTTTTCTACTCTATAAAGATCTGCAAACTATTCAAACAGCTTCTGCAATTCTTCAGTATTTTTACCATGCACTCCTTTAATGTGCAAAAGTAAAAGTTTTTCTTCCAAATTTTACTTGGAGTAAAATACAACAAAACCTACACAACAGAGTTTCTTGACCCACCTCACCTCTTCAAAAAAAAAAACCCACCAAACCATAGGGCACAAAATTACAAATAGCATTTTCAGAAAACACTTAATTCAAAATTAAAATGTCCCCAACTATAAGTGCGTGAAATCAACTATAACAAACCTGCACTCAGAAGCTGTATTTAATGCTTGCTTTAAATTTCCACTAAAAAAAAATTGTATTCATTTTTTTTAAGTTGTGTCTATAGGTCCTCTGATACACTAGCCTTAGGCATTAGAAGTTTTCCTGGTTCTCATCCAACTTTGGAAATAATATCTTCTTGCTTCGGGTGTTAAAAGGATTCATACATTATTTATAAGGACTGCTAAAATCTAACTCCTGGATCTAACTTGCAAGAGAAAGAGTATAAAAAGTTACATATAAAAAAAAGCACACAACTGTCCCAATTTCAATTTTTAGCCTCTCTTTCTATGTCACGTACCACCAGACCGAGTCTGTAATACTGTCATCTCTCACTCCCCATGTTCAGATATTCGCCTACAGCCTCTTTGCGCCTTGTTGGATTTGATCTTTCTTGCATATTTTTAAAGTATGCTTTTCCAAGTAAAAAAAAAAAACAAACAAAAAACCCCAAATGCAAAACTGCCGGGTAACTTGTTACACTTCAAAGATGCTGGATTTCTCTGACAGAATGGTGTTTGTTTACATCCTGAAAAATCAGGCTAAGGTATTTCAAGAAAATAACCAGAACAGGGTAGCTAAAATCCCTGTTCACTTCTCAACGTCTTCTTCTGCTATACTTTTCTCTTTTTAATGTTGTCTACATATATGATATTTGCATTCTGTTTGTCTCTTCCTGGTTTAAGAGTTCATTATTAGATTTTTAAAACCATCCCTTTTAAACTTTACAAGGGGAAGATTTTAGTACCTTCTTATCAATCCAAGAAAAATATTTCTGCAGTTTCACTTCCTGGGTTGTATTAAGGCAAGAGACATTGATCTACAAAATAATTTTATGCAAATAAAGAAAACAGAAAAGTCAGGTTTCCAGAGCTTCAGAAATGCTCATCAATATGATTAAGTCCTCACACTGTAACTGGAAATAGCGTATTTTTTCTACTGCACACACTAAAACCATTGCATCTGACAGTCCTTTACACTTCAGATACCTGTTCCTGACTCTAATTTCACTTTGCCTCACTGGAGCACATAGTAACTGCATCTACCTAGCTGAACACGATGTATGAGAGACTGAACATACGCTTACTGCAGCTTACCAAATCATTGAAAAACTGCCTCATGCAACACTCGTAGCAGCACAGCAGTGGATTTCGTTCACCCAAAAAGGTGAGGTTGTTTATGTTCGTCTTTACACCAGGCAGAATTTTCACACATATTTCAATGATCAGAGTTGGAGACCTTAGTTCTTAAAAAAGAACAATATGCATAATGGAGCATGATATCCATTCTGTCCCCAAGGAAATTATAAATTAAGTATCTTGTGAGATACACTCTGTTGGAAAATCAAATTCTGTCTGGGATTTTTGTACCCGGTCCACAAGCTTACTTACTTTTCTTTCCCCACAAAATATAGTTGTGTGATGTTCACTATTCAAAGGGAAAGTTAGACTAGGTCACGTCTCTTAAACATTTATCTTGCTAGCAATCAAGTCTCACGTAGCTGAAAACCAGAAAAAAATATTTTGCTTTTTCCATTGCCACTGTTAAAATTCTCCAGCTGACTGTAGCTCATAGCATTTGTACAGTTGGTTTTGCTGTTACAGGGCTCCTCAACCCCTGCCTCCATGAGACTTTTACACAAGAACGGGAAGGAGAACAGTTGGAACAGTGATGATGAAACCCTGATCAACATTAGCAAAGAGAATTAGAAAGCGAGCACTCTGCCTCTACGACTCTTACTTCCTTATTTTAAAACTAACTTCATTTTAATGGGAAGAGGGTTTGGGGTTTTGGTTTTTATTCTTGTTAAATTTGTTCAGAGGAAGAAGAAACAGCTGTCAGGACATGGGAATTCTGTGCCAGTCTCGGCAGCCTTCCTTCTTTTACCTTCACCAAATTATGCAAGCTCTTGCAGTATATTTAAGAGAGGCTAATACATAAAAGGTAATGTACGGCGTTCCTTTCTACTGTCACCTGAAAACTTGAAATTTAAATGCATTATAGAAAAAAAGTTTATTAACGCCAGTGTATTTTGACACCAGTTAATCTTGGAGGAAAGCAAGGGAATGGGAAATAAGCTTGCCACAGCACCGGTACCTGTTTTGAAACCATACTTATGCAATACCCAGCGGGTCCTGCGCGACTGCTATGGGCAACGCAACTCGAACCGCTCCAGGATGCAAACAAATATGCAAACACACAGGGACCAAAACTCAAAGCAAAGGATTAATTTCGCACCTTCTTGAGAGGAGACAATAGGTGGCATATAATCAGGGATGTACTCCTTCCTTTCTTCCGCATCTTTACTTCCCGGCTGGGGAAACTGCAGGACATTGTTCTTGCTGACGGGAAACGAAGGGATTTGATGTGCGAAAGTGACAGGTTCGATATTGTGTATATAATCTTCTAGCTCATGCAGGTTAACCCCCATAAGCTTGAAGGCATCACCTACATCATCCAAAATTGGATCTGTGCGGCCATCTGTAACAAAAAAACAACAACAAAAGAACAACATTTTTACAAAACGCCAGTTTAAAAAAAGATTGACCTGCAGATCTATGCTTAGAGATTACAACCCGCTGCGGTCACCACCAGTACCAGAGATTACTGCCCCACGGTTCTGCCAGATGTACTGTTTGTCCGGCTATACGACGTTTCAGGCTAAGAACACCCTCTCATTCAAAAGTGTTTTGTTTTGATCCGTATCACTTTGTTTCAGTTCATACCGTTAAAGAACAGCACCTCAAGAGCAAATCGAGTAAAACCGAGGGAGCAGCAGCAGGCAGCTTTGCCTGGCAACAGTCAGTTAACACCGTGTAACACCGCTTAAAATAGTTTTCAATTTCATAATGTACATTCAAATGAATGAAACAAGCCCTCAATATGCAGATAGTGCCCCTTCACCAGTATGTTACAGACTACATGTTATTTTTCAATCTAGAAAATGAACAATTTCATTTTATTGAACCAATTGCAGTTTATGGGTAGCAAAAAAAAAAAAAAAAAGAAAGAAAGAAGGTATCTCGTGTATCTCTTGATAACAAAAATACTTCACATAGTATCTTTCCACCAGATGAAATCTACTGGCTTCACAAACTATGAGTCACTTTACCTACCGGTTAGATATACCTCCCGGATGAAACACAGGAATATTAAGTAGTAGTCTAATGAGGAGAGAATATTTTATACTAAACTTCAGGGGCTGATTTCCTATGGTGCAGTTTAAGTTTGACTCTACAGCAAAGATCTTCTTTTCTTTACGAAAAGCATATCGAAACCTTACTGGCCGAGCAGTCAGGATCTTGATTTAATATGACCTCCGAGAAAACAGTCTAAGAAAAGATGCACTTTGTTCTACTCATGTAATTTGGCTCAAAGATCTGAACTGTACAGCGCAGAAGTCCTCCAAGTGCCTCAGTTTCCCTGAGCAAACAGAGGGAAATCCCTCTGAAGGCCTCTGGAAGGAGAACTGGGCACCATGGCACCACTTTGAGTCTCATCCTAACTTTTCAGAATAACAATAACAAAAGATGCCTTAAACCCTAAAAATGATTGTTTTTAATTCAATAAAATTCTACTGAATTATTAAAATTCCGTATAGTTGGCTTATTAAGATATTACATCCCTACATGATGATAAGCTGTGATTTACTTTAAAAAGTAATTATGGAAAACCAGCCCGTGCTTATTGAAGGAACACAATCGCTATTGTGAAGCCCCAGCTTCGGAGAACGGGGGGGATGCTCTTTTGTTTGTCCTTTAACCTAATCTCTTCTTGGTTTATCTTGAAGCCGAAGCAGTCGAGCAGGCTGGTTCTCACATCACTGGATGAATTCAAACCCCCAGCCAACTTACGCCTGCAGGTACATTTAGAAAATAAGAATTTTGTTCTCGAATTTCTCTTCTTAGTCTTGCAGTGAAGATAAGGGTAATACTCAGATTATGGTTTTGATTCTCAGCTCCGTAACACTGGCCTCTTGTGTGACTCTGGGCAAGTCGCTTGTGTTTTAATTCTCTCCACAGCTAAAAGGGAGATCAGACCAAGTTATCGCCTCTTTTGTCCATCTGTATTTAGAACATGAACTCCGTATGACAAGAACCATCTTGGATTTTGTGTTAGTATAATATCTAGTACAAGTGCAATACTCATTTCCCCTGCAGACTCTAGGAACAGAGAAGTGTGGAGACTTACATAAACATAATTAAAGGAGGATATCACCACTCTGGAGTAGTTATGAGATCCCTATTGTTATTGGGCAGACAGAAGAGTGTTTTATCCTTAAAAAATTAAATTTAGATAATTGACATAGCTAAGAAATTATGCATTGTCACTTTTAGTTGATCTTCAGTCTACAAAGGTACCTTTGAACTTACTGTACCATTTTCTATGGTGTAAAGACTTAACAGGGCCAAGTTGGGACAGCCAGTCAAGAAAAGCTTGGGGAAAACAGAAAGCCCAGAAGTAGAGAATATGTATTCCCTGGTGTCCTGGTTTGAGCAACAGAGGACTAATTTCTCTTCTAATACTTGGGAAACTGCACTTTTAGAAGACTCCACTGTCTGAATTTGTGAAAATGTGTACTTTATAGCCAGCTATGGCGTGTGGGTTTCAAGGTCTCAGTGTTTTTGAGCTCACCAGGTGCAGGGATGAGCAGGAGCAAGACCCGGGCACTTGACCCAAGCTGGCCAACAGGGTTATTTCATACCATGAACGTCACATTCAATATAAATTAGTTTGCTGCTCTCTCTGCCTTGATGGCTGCCATCCTGAGAACTTCTTGGCCCGGTGCTGGACCCACGAGCCCTTCCATTCCTCCTGAAGTCGTAGCGCTCACAGTATCTGACATTTACTGTTCCCCCTCGGGAGTATAATCCTTGTATATTTTATATTGGTTTTGGGCTCAATGCTAGTTCTTTAGTGCTATTAATTATCTAGTCTTATTCTATTAAATTTTATCATATTTCAACCCCCGGGTTTCCTTGTTTTTTCCCTGATTCCCCTTCCCGGGTGGGGAGGGGTCATTGGATAATAGAATAATTGCCTAAATGACAATAAATTGTTATGGGTTTCTCAAACCATAACACCCGGACACTGCTGAAATCACTGGCTGTGCTGTTTGCAGGACCGGGGGATTCATGGTGAGCCTCACAGCACTCATTCTTGGGTGGGCATTGCCTAGACGTGGGAAGCAGACCGACTGGCACGGACACACACCGCACTTGTGCCCAGTTTTCCTTGGTTTGTCTAAACCAAGTGCACAGGCAGGGAAAATGCTGCAATAGATTCTCCAGCTGGACAACCTGGGGCACAGGACTGCAAAGTGCACCACACCACCCACTCCGTTGTAGGGGGTTCCACGGAGATGTTTGATGCTGAGCGTGCGCCTCTTGACACCAGCACTGTCATCTGCTCGGGGTGAAAGTTTAGTCCAGTTCACCATTGCAATAGGAAAAGATCTTTTCCTAGATCTGCATGTGATCTTTTTAACCTCCAAAATAGTGTACTGACGTGACTGGCAAGTGATAAACGCTAAAAAGGACTTCTTCCTACAATTGCTTATTAAGAACATGTGGCAGAGAAGCTACTACTAAGTGTAACTGAAGCATGGAAATATTTAAGCAACAATATAAAAAAACCACCTATCTGTGTTAGAAAGCAGGTTCAAAAGGCAACCAAAAAAACCTGAAGAAGATTCAGTTTTCCAAATCTTTGACGTTTGCCTCCAAAGAGACAATGCCAAGTCATAAGACTGATTAAAAGCTAAAAAAAATTTTAAACCTGCAACTGTCACAGGGACAAAAGGACGGCTCAGTTCACCTCTTCTTTTTAAGAAAACATGTCCTCAGTGCTAAAAGTGTACAAAAACAAGTTTCAGGTCTGTATTCATATCTGCATTTAAATCAAAACACTTATCAATTGGAAATACACAGAGCACAAAAATGCATTAAATGTAATTTCAGGTGATTCATCAAATAAAGGCTTGTGCCTTTATACTTATATTTGAACAGTTTAGCATTCCTTTCCTCTCTCTGGTTTAATAAAAATTCACTAAAATAGCTGAAGCCAGACACATGAAAGGGAATGCTGACAAATATGTAACACACTCTCTCCTGGTCTTTCATTTAGTCTTAGGCTTTTTTCTGCAAGTAAACGATGCCAAAGAGAGTTTAATTTGTGCATACTGAACTTGGCTCAATATTCTTCAGATATTTGTGCTATCCTCAGTTTAAAAATTCAGATGCTGAAGCCTCCTAGTGAAATAATTAATCCAGTGTCACACAGCAAGTCAGTGCCAGATCACAAACGGCTTTGGAGCTTTTAGTTTCCAGCCTCTTGCTGTTCCCTGTATCACGACGCCTCAATATCTGTTGTCCAGGACTGGGAAGAGACGGAAGGAGGTGGGAATAGTTCATCCTGCAAGTTAAAACTCTCCTCCTTACCCTGCAAACACTGAACTAAGAAAATATCTTTCTCATGATCTTTTAAGCTGTACTATATCCCTGAATGAGAACTGCGCTCCGAAACTGATACAGCTGCAAACAGCAGAGCTAAATTAAGACTGTTTGGCCTCAAAACAGCTCACCAGAAACCTGTAGGAATGGCTGTGCATTTACGATACAGCTTCCCTACAAATAAGAACAAACATGGGGTGAGGAGGAATCTGCACACGGAAATGGATCCCCCAAAAAGTACATCACTGAAACTATGGGCAAACAGAATCAACGCAGAGCTGAACACTGGGATGGAAAGTTATCCAGCCCTCAGCTCTGCTGCTCAGCGTCACCTGCAGATAAACCTGGCTGTCCACAAGGAAACTCAAACCAAACAGCACTAATTCCCCTGCAAGCAATAAAAGCCCACTTTGGGTTTGTGGAGAAAAGGCATTTTTAGAAGGTACTAAAGCCTACTTACTTTTGCAAAAGTCACAAGAATTCCCCCAGCCCTCCAGCAAAAAAGCTGACCAATGCTCATGTCACCCAAAGAAACTGGGAGGGGGTGTTAGGGAAAAACTATCTTACTTTCCCTAAATTCTCAAATTCTTAAAGTCTCAGAAATAGCTGATTTACTTTTGTCAAACTCACCCCCATCACTTCTTCCTTCCTGGCCCAAAGTTCATATGAATCAGTGAAAATTTAGCAAGCCTACAGAACAGAAGAGCTTTTAGTTTCACGTCAGGTTTTTCAAAGGGAGCAACTACAGCTCTGTAATAAATATATTGAGAAAAATTAATGAGTCACTACCCATGCAACATGTACAGTCTATTACAAACAGCTCAGCATTCACTCTCATGTCTGCTATAAAAGAGATTTTTCAAAAAATGTTATTTTAACCAGCAAATTTAGCTCCTCGGTATTTTTATTACAGGCTTAGCCACAGATTCCTTGTGCTCCAGCACATCACCCAACCCTGCCACGCATTAAATACCTGTGTATCTACACTGAATAGTTACTCCAGGATTACTTTTTTAAATAC